CAATGTCACCACTATATGGAAATGATCTGTCCTACACAGGAGATAGATCTACTCACCTACATGATCATGAACTTGTTTTCTAGACATACAAGTGTTAGATAATAGCTAGATTGCATATAAGCATGTCATTTTTTCTAGGTGCACCCTTTTCAAACTTTTTCATGATTTTGAGAGTCCCCATAGACATATGTAATGAAATATAATCATATCTTCCCTAGTTCTTCCTTCAAACTGATCATATCCTTCCAAACATGGCCCCATTCTCATCTATTTCACTTTTTTATGGTTTTTAAATCCAGTTAGTACTGTCTATATGTGCATGGATGTGGGGTCAAACACTGGAACATGGGATTCCTACCAGTGGTCACATCCTCAGAATAGAATGATTCTCTTTCCCCAGAAACCATCCAATTCCAAAACTCCCTAGCAATGGGTGGCCTGGTAATCATCTATGCATCTGTGCTGGCATCTGGGCTGTTTTGCTCTTGTGTACCTCTTGTGGAAGTATCCACAGCAGTTGTTGGATCATGACTGTAATTATCATATAATATTCAGAAAGCAGTATCTCACAATACTCCTCCACATCCTCTGGCTGTTACATTAGTTCCACGTCCTCTTCTGTGATGTTCTCTGAGCCTTGGTGGTAGAAGTGTGATTGCTACAGGTGGCCCATTTAGTCTGGAGGGCTCAGTCTATCATGCACAGTTGACAATGGCCCATTGTACAAAAGAAGCTTCTCTGGCACAGATTGAAAAGAGAACATTCCTGACCTACCAGTATATACAGGCACAAATCATGGATACTTGACATTATGACCACTTAACAAAGTAAGAACAGTGGGTTCTATCCTAGGGTCCATACTCTTCCAAGCTATAGAATTTTCACTAAGATTACAGTTCCATGCATGAAATTCCCTCCTGTGGAGGAAGTCTCAAATGCAATCAGAAAGTGGTTAGCTACCCTTAAAAGAAGTATCGCTGTTGTACCAAGAGGTACATCCTACTGATTGGGTCAGAACTGCAGCTTTCATAGCCTAGTTCTCAGTAAGACCATGTCATGTCTTTTCTCCCCAGCAACCTGCATATCTCCCTCTGACACTTTGAAAGCTAGCCAGAATGGAGGAGGCGTCTTGATCTGTTTGAGACTGATCTCTTTATGTCCTGCAGCAAAAGTATGCAGTGTCTTCAGGAGTAGGGTCTTATCTAGATAAAAGGAACATATCCTGTGGGATTATCATTTAGTAAGTTGTATTTTCTGGACGTGACATTGTGCACACACACAGTGTAATTTGCTTGACCTCTTTTCATTGTTACATTTTGTTTGAACATAAGTTCACCCACTAGAAAGATTCCTTAAGGGCTTCCCAAAGATCCTTGGTTTTGGTTAACTTAACTACCCTTTGCACTCTTCTCTTCTTCTAATCTCATCTCTGCTTAATATTTTAATGCTTGTTATTTCCCTTCTTTCATCTCACACATGTTCTACTGTCTTCCTCCTCATTAAAAAATGTCATTGTAAGATTATAGCCCACCATAATTTAGTTTTTCAGTTAGTATACAACTTGAGAGATTTTCTTCATATTTTCATACATACCTAGCTTGGGTTGCTATTCTTTCTCCTAGCTCCCTGCCAGTCCATGTCTCAGACTACACCTCTCCACCCCCAGTATTCCCTTTCCTACTTTCATGGAGTTAGAACGCCTTTAAGGATAATAACATGGGAAACCATGGAAATTTCAGAACAATAGGCTACATAACGTCATCTCTTTCTCATGAATTCATGTGATTCTTCAGTAAGTATTATTAACAGTATTGCTGTAGAGGATGAGGAGGCTATGACACCAGCAAGAAACCTCTCTTCTTATTTAACTATTAATTTCATTTTCACTCCTTCATTCTCTAATGGTATCTGTGAACTGGTATCCCTTCCACACTGGCAAATATCACTGAATTCTGTATAAAATAAAAAAGAACTTTATAGTATTTTTACTTCCTATTTTTGTCAAAAAATATAAACATCAGGAAAAGCTTGAAATTCCAGGAGACCTCAAAACAGGCAGAATCTTCCACCTCTACCTTATGTCAGCATGTATTTCAACAAATAAACAAACATGGCAGTTAACAGTTATACACACACACACACACACACACACACACAGAGAGAGAGAGAGAGAGAGAGAGAGAGAGAGAGAGAGAGAGAGAGCAGAGAGAAAGGAGAGAGAGAGAGAGACTTAGGCTGTGAAGGTATGCTTAGACACAGCTGGAAATGATTGGGAAAGAGAGTACAGTGCAACAGAGTTTAAATACCACATGGTCTCAATGATATTTTCCTAGTGCTCCAAGCAATTTTCTTCCACAAGTCAAATGGTTTCAAGACTCACCAGCCCCAAATTACCTACACAACATAAATGCGAAGAAGAAGAACAAGAAGAAGAAGAAGAAGAAAAAGAAGAAGACAACGATGAAGAAGAAGACAACGAAGACGAAGAACAAGAACAAGAACAAGAACAAGAACAACAAGAAGAACAAGACGAAGAAGAAGAAGAAGAACAACAACAACAACAACAACAACAACAACAACAACAAGGCAGAAAGGAAGAAAGGAAAGAAAGAGAGAAAGAAAGAAATGAAGGAAGGAAGGAAGAGAGAAAGAAAGAAAGAAAGAAAGAAAGAAAGAAAGAAAGAAAGAAAGAAAGAAAGAAAGAAAGAAAGAAAGAAAGAAAGAAAGAGGAAACTGCAATGAAATACAACAAATAACTCTTAGGGGATTTCCTTCTCAAAACTGTGAACAAGACACGTTATAGCACAGACAGCCCTTTTGAAGCCTTTTGCCAAACTGCTAGGTGACCTCATCACCCCAGTGAAGAGAATACATAGTGATTCCCAGGAGACACTGAAATACACTTCTGATATACCTGACTCTGTTTGTGTCTGTGGCTGGGAAGGGAGTTCCAGACCTGAACGAATGACAATGTACATTTAAGGAGTTGTTACTGTAAACAACCAGTTTTCTGTGTAGAGTATATGAAACATTGCCTGAAGGTGTTCTGTGGGCTCAAGGATGTGTTATTCAAAGAAAGCCTTACAAAATCTCTCTCAATATTCTGTTTAATTAGTTCAGCATTTTCATCATGGTGAATAAAATGACTGCCATAAATTTCCAAATTTGAAAGTAATGGATAGCAATAGAAATTATCATCTAGATTATCTAGAGTAGAAATATATTAATTTTTCAATAGAAAATAGTATTATGTCATATCATGATATCATCCAATGATTCATTAGTGTTCCTTTAGTTAACTAAACACATTAGCAAATACCAATGTAAAATGTTGTATGCAAAGAATTATTCTAAGTATCTTACATGTCAAATTCACTTACACATCCTAAAATTATACGTGTGTATATATGTATATTACTTTCATCTTCATGGAAATGACTATAAAATCTTAAATACACACCAAATTAGAAGTAAGTCAAACAATATTTGGTAAGAGCAAAAAAAACCCGAGTTTAGTACTACATTGTTATTTTTTGTCTTGATTGGATTTTATTATTATTATTATTATTACTATTTTTATTATTATTGAAAGAAAGCCTGAAGATTGGTTGGAATGAAGTTAGGGGGATCTGGGAGGATTTGGGGTGGGGAAAAAGTAGGATCAAAATATACTGTATGAAAATATATAAGTAAAAAGAAAAATCTGGTAGCTAGCATTGTCAGGGGAAGAATTAAAATGAAAGCTGTTTAGAAAAAAAATTATTTAAAATGTATGAGACAAAGATGACATCAAAAGCATTACAAATTAACATTTCCAGAAAAAATTATAACCGGTAGATGCTAGATGGAAAGCTAGGTCATTGACTTATTAAGAGAGACTATGCATACAGCAAGTCTATGCATACTTCCCCAACATTTTCAAGGATATATTTACAGGCTTCTACTGGTTTCCTAGTGCAGCATTGATTTGAGGGCTTGTGCTTAGTCTTATGCATCTTGCTATCCCATGCTTAATTGATAGCATTGGGAGGCCTGCTCTTTTCTGAAGGGAGACAGAGGAGCAGTGGATCTGGTGGAGAGGGAAGGATTTGGAAAAGGGGAAAGATGGAAGGCTGTAGTTGGAGTGGATTGTATGACAGAAGAATCTTTGACAGAGAGGAAGGAATGATGAGCAAATGTGTCAAGACTAGGCTGGTGAAACCCAGAGAAACAGCTGACCTGAACAAGGGGGTGATCTTGGATTCCAGACTGATGGCTGAGAGGCCAGCATGGGACTGATCCAGACCCCATGAATGTGGGTGTCAATGAGGAGACCTAGGCAATCTCTGGGGCTTTAGGTAGTAGATCAGTATTTATCCCTAGCACACAAATGGACTTTGGGTGCCCATCCCACAATGAGGGGTGCTCTCTCAGCCTGGACACTTGGGGGGTAGGCCTTGCTCTGAATGAAATGACAGAAGCTGGAGATCCCCCATGTAGGGTCTCGACCTCTCTGGGGAATGGAGTGGGGATCGGGTGGGGGACTGGAGGAGGGCTGAGGAGGAGGGGAGGGAGAGGGAGCTGGGATTGACATGTGAAGCACACTTGTTTCTAATTTAAATTGAAAAATTTAAACTTTAGAAAATCAGGCTATAGCCACATGGATAAGCTATTTCTCTACATTCATAGCACTTTAGATAAAAGTCATATGGACCAGAAATTAGCAAATTACAGAGTAAAAATGAAATTGGCACTCTGTCTTCAACAGAAATTTTTACTGGAGGAAAACTGGTTTATCTACCTGCGTATTGATTACAGGGCCATGATACTCCAACAGCCATATAGATACATCAGCGACTAGCCTCCAAAGACAAAAATATTTACTGTCTGGTTCACTGAAGAAGGTTTGCCAACTCCTGACCTAGACAATTACAGTAGATTGTTTTTTAAAATACAGAGAAAGGAATGAAGGTCTCCTGAATCCTTTGCAGACAAAACCAGACAGGGTTAAAATTTCATACCTCTTTCCAGACAGTGTGCTACGTCCCAGCGGCTTGCCATCTGTCATTGTATCTTCAGTTCCATTATTGCAGGGGACATCTAGTTGGCTTAATGGCTGGTGTGCCACAGACAGAATCCACAGAAAAGAAAAGAAAAGCCGCCAGAGCCCATTAATCTGAGATAACATTTTATTAGACCCTCACTGTAGTCCCAAGTTTAGTTTCCCAAACATCTTCCTTGTTTCTAATACGAAGTAATTATTTTTGTAGGACTTGAAACAAATCTCAGGTTTAAATGTTTGTTTTCCTAGACTGTCATCAATAGTGTATTTTAGACTGGAATCACTATGGAGTAAGCTGATTCACAAGACTCTGTTAAACTGATCAGAATCATAAAAGGAAAGTCACCAGTCTGGATATATTGGTGATCCATGTAAACATCATCTGTCCCCATTTATATTTGGTAATAAAAGATTCAAGATTGTGAGTCCCCAGAGAGCTTTCTCCATAGCCGTGGGTTCAGCCTTACATTCTAACATCTAAAACTAAAGATAAGGAGCTCTGAAGATAACAAAAAGAATAACCTGGAATTCTGGGGAGCAGAATACTCAAGGCCACCAGACAGTGTCCTCAGACTTCAGTTACCAAACAAGTGAGAAAAATTTTAGGGAATAATAAAATTATTCTGACATCTGTATTTGTAGCCAGTTTTTAAGCATACACATTCTGACTTTGTGTGTCTCAAAATCACATTCCCCCAAGTGACAGAATTTGAGTTGGCATGACTCCTTGTAGAGAAAACAAGATAGAAGTTTAAATAATCCAAGTCATATCTGTGACATCAAGTGTTAATATACCCTACTAATATACTAATATAGTCTTTTACTCTATAATCACTAACTTTTAATCAGAGTATACTTCAAGATTAGTTTATTTAACCATGGGACTATACTAAAAATCAAGGGTTTCATTACATCACTTTAAGACATTAACAGCAAAATAAATTAATTTGGTTTTAGAGTGTCTTCATGAATTACTTGTTTCTTCTATCACATATTTAGATAATAAAATGGTTCAAGTATCTGTAAAGGCATGTGATCCTAAGCTGTTATAGTAGGGCCAGTAAACATCCTTAACACCTAATTTGTACTTACCTGAAATTGATTTTTAATTTTTTCTGGTGTTGCTGAAATTACCCTTTGTAATTTAAGTGTAAGGATGAATAACTAAATATGTATAATGTAACAATTTTATGATAAAATGTAATATTTCCACTCAATCTTAAATTGAAATAAAATAAGAAATCTGAGGGAGAACGTGATTCCATAAGTGTGTAGGGAGGGGGTTGGGGGTTGGAGAAACACATGCACACAAAGCCAAAAGTTTAGAATGCCGATTTTGCTGAGCAAACTTTACAAATCCATCTCTTTTCCTAGAAACAAATGTGATCGACTCTGCTACTCTGGTTAGATGTTTCACTGACCACCCTGATCAAAGAATTCGTACAGATCTTGTGAGATACACCCATCCATTAAAAGGCCACTGAGTATAAATTGCCTAGTGACACACCCAGTGAGCGTGGGTTAAGATATAGCCTTGAAATTGTGAAAGCGATCTTCTATTTCTGGTGTTGTGAATGAGCTAGTCTTTGTCTCATTTGATCGTACTTCCCAGCTAGGAAACGCTAGGACCGCTATGCTTATACTGTGCCAGGGCTATTCTTTAGTAACTGGACTCAATTCTTTGGTCTTCTTCTATGCCTGTACCTGCATTCTTGTCCAAAAGTATTGCTTTTTCTGGGTTCCATGGCTTTTAACTTTCAGTAGGTTTAATCAAAATGAAGCTTGAAGGGACAGAAACATGCACTAAGGGGCTGATTTTCCCAGGCTGTCACCAATGGTCTTCAATACTGCTTTATCTCCATTTCTCAATCAGTGGCCACGGCTCTTGACCTTAAGCCTTTTGGTTGTGGCTACTGCTTTCATAAGATGCATATCATGCTTTTATTTCACCTTTCTGGGCTTTGTGATGGCGATAATGTCATCTAGTGTCCATCCACAGGTCTACCACCTTCTGTTGGGAATATTTGGTTCGTTCTCAGTCCCCCATTCCAAACACTGCTCAGATGGTTAGTTAGGATCTCCTATTTGGCTCTGAGGCTCTATCAGCCCTATCTAAATGCTGCTGACCAAGACATCCATAGTAATTCAGATACTTGTCTTCATAATATGTTGACTTCAAAAAAAAAACAAAAACAAAAACATCAGGATGTAACGCCACATTTCTGAACAACGGAATTCAGTATGAGCTTCATCCAAAAGAAGTCAAGGACTACAAAACAATTTTAAGTAAGCCCTGGTCTGGAAAACTCAGCACGTCATATCAGATCACTTCTCTCCTTCAGGAGGACATATTGTCACATGTCTTTCTCTAAAGGGCAACACCACCTGCTGCTCCCTATACTTACAGAATGGTGTGAATTTTTCTCTGTCAACATCACCCATGATAACTGACAGTATATATTTGTTAGCCAATGATGCTAAAAATGGAGCCTTTGAGAATTGAAACTGAGCAAAGTATTTCCTAATGCAGACAGTATTTGCTTTTCTCAATGTCTATCATAACATCATATTGGTGAAATGTGAGCAGTTACAACCATGAATAATTATCTAGAAGAACTTCATTATCCCTTTAAGATATCATTGTTATACCTTCTTTATGAGCATGGCTCCATTCACTTCTTTATATGTATTTGCAATAATTTTGTTTAAGACCCATGCATGAGTAATGGATTCAATATTTATTATTAGCTGTTAACAAATTGTTTTCTGTATTATGGATAACAGTATGATAAGAAATCTATAAAACTACTGGTAAATTGACATCAAATCTCCATTTTTACCTCCCGAAGACCCCAGGAGAAACATCATAAATTATATAATTTCCAAATGATAACCTATCTTTGAGTTTCTTTTAAAAATATGGATTTTTAAAGTTTTTCCATATATTAACATTCCTTTCTGCAGTAAGAGAGGAGGACAGTACTATTCATTATAAAACACAGTTTTACATACTTTTCCAGCTAGGGATATACATTGAATTTGCTTTTCATATAAACTAATGGCAGAGACATCAATGGTATAATAGTTGAAAGTAGAATGCAGTAATATTTCTTACTGTGGTAAGACTGCACAAAATTCCAATGTATTTCTTGCACTTATCATGTTAGTCACCAATCTATCTGCAAAAAAGAAAATGAAATGGTTACAAATGGAATTAATCATACATTATATCTCCTGCTAGACTCAGTCCCAAATTTTAAAAGGCTGACTTAAGCAATCAATATGCAATTTCTGCATGATTAAGAACATATTCTCTTCCTACTAGTGTATATCATGTTCTCATTCCAGAGCACTGCCTCTGGTCAACGCTTTCTTCTTAACAACATAAAAAGTTTTTTTTTAAAAAAATGCCGAAAACATCTAGCCCCAGAAAATTCAGTTTAAATGCCCAGCATTCCTTTAATAGAAATGGCAGGTAGAATTTCATCTGTATTAGTCAAGGTTTTAGAACAACAGGTAGCATGTGACTTTAACTGACAATTTTTCTGTGAGTAATTCAATTGACATGGAATAAATCTGGTTATGTTTTTGACTGCTTGGTATTTTAAGGTTCTATATTTTTGCCATTGTAGAGATGGACCCAAATTTTAAAATCATTTAGTACTGGAAATTTTCCCCCACTTGTGAACTATACCTCTCCTCCTATTTCAATATGTCTTGCTTTAAAAGTCTACTGTGTATTTCTGGTTACACAAAGTGACACAAGCCCAATTTATATTTTCTCCCTCTCAGAATCCTACAGGTAAAAGTGGAAGACATGAACTACAGTAGTTTCCTATGATCTTCCCCTATTGATATCTGCAGGCTGTGTGTAGTTCTGACAATATTGTTCCTGGTTATGGTCACTGAAGATCCATTTGATCAGTATCGTGTGTCACAAGCAATGGTGTGTCATGTTTGGTAATAGAATCTGGAAAAACGTCTATTCTCTCTCCTCCCCTCTTCTCTCCTCTTTTCCTTCTTTCGTCTCTCATTGAAAGGGAAGGCAAAAGTTTATGTTGTAAGCACCTCCTTGGAGAAGTCCCAATAGTTAGAAACTGAATTTCCCTACAAGTATTCAGTGAGACATGGGCCTCTCACCAACCACATGAATGGGTTTTCAGTGCCTTCATTGTTCACTGAATCCTGAGACAAGGACAGCCCAACAAAAAAGTAGAAACTTGGCACTAAATCCCTTAGAGTCTTAAGGCAGGGTCACCCAGCTAAGCCATACCCTGATACCTAACCTTCAGAAGTTGTGAGAGCTAATCAATAATTGTTATTTAAATCAAATACACTCAGTGCAGTGGTTCTGAACCTTCCTAATACTGTGACCCTTTAATATACTTCCTCGTGTTGTGGTGACCACCAATCATAAAATTATTTTTTCTACTTAATCACTGTCATTTTGCTACTGCTAGGAATCATAATTTAAATACCAATGTTTTCATGTAACCCCTGTGAAAGGGTTGTTTGACACCTTAGGGGATCATGACATGTTTGGAAACACTGACTTATGGTATTTTGTTACGCAGCAATGGGTGAGAAACACAAACTGGGACCACAGTAAGACATTGCAATAAGAAGCAAATATAGAAATTAACAGAAATTATGTCCAAATTAGAAGTGTTCCCAGGATTTGTCAATGAATACTCAAAGTACATGATAAGAGATATGAGAACCTCTCCTCATATGTAAAGGAAAACAACAGAGAAACATGTTAAAATCAGGGGAAATGGGCATAAGCACAGTTATGTATTGAGTAATAATGTTTTGGTTAGTGAGAAGCATATAGGACAGTGTAAGTGACCTCCCAGTTGTCTCCCTCCATATACACTTATTCTGAAGTCCACAGACAGTAACAGCTATGTGAGGATTGTGCAGGAAGTAGTCAGACCAACTGATGAAGCTTCTATCTCATGACGGGCAAAGAAAGAAGGTTCTGTGTAGAAAGAAAACCAGAGTATCACTGTGGGAACAGCTAGAGTGCATATTGCAGAATGTTAAAATACAACAAAGAGACTAAAATGAAATATTAGACTGTTTTCTTCTTTTATATTGAAAATAATTTTTACATACAAAATATTCTGAACATGATTGTCCCTCCTGCAACTCCTCTGAGATTCTCCCCACCTCCTTATTCACTCAGCTCCACTCCATCTTTCTCTCTCTTTGGAAAAAACAGGCAAATAAAAGAAAAATCAAACAAACTGGGAAAAGTAATATAGGGAAAGCACAAGAAACACACACACACGCAGACACACACACACAGACCCCCCGATGTATAAAAACACAAAATCAGAAAAGATAATATACAAGTAAAAGACCAGTAAGACCAAATAAAAAAAAGCCCAAAGTGATAAAAATTCCAAAAGACACTAAAGTAGGTTTTGTGTTGGCCATCTGATGCTAGAGTGTGTTTATTATCCCCAGTGAGACTCCATTGGTGTAAACTGTTTTCCTTTTAAAAAGTGGATGTCAATTGGAGATAGCATCTTGATTTGAGTGGGAGCTTATGTCTACTTTCCCCTTTCAGCACTGACGTCCTGTTTGGCTTGAATCTGTGAAAATTGGACGTTCAACAAATGCACAAGGCGTTGTGGAGTTTGTAGATATGATTGCAGATAATCTGTCCTTAATGTTTTTCAGGAAACTCTCTCTCTCTCTCTCTCTCTCTCTCTCTCTCTCTCTCTCTCTCTCTCTCTCTCTCTCTCTCTCTCTGAATTTTGGAGAGATTTCCCCGTGTCCTTATGTTTGTGCCAATAGATTAGTACATCTCTCAACCCTCATCAGAGCAACTTGTTTTTGCAGCAGATGGAAGTTAACAGAGACCCACAACAAGTCATTGTTCAAAGAATAAGAGACTGTGGGGTGCTCAACTCTAAATACAACACCTATTGCAGTCAAGTCTCAGCGATAATGATGGAGGAGGTAGGCAGAAAGATCGTAAGAGCCAGTGGAATTTGCCAGATGTGGCTGCACAGTTACTCACATGAACCTAACTGTGCTAGAATTACATGCACAAGACTTGCAAAAGATCAAGCCAGCCAACATATCATCATGGATGGGAGAGGGACTCACAATGTCCCGCTCTTTGTTAAAGAACCACTGACAATTGATGGCTTTGGGAGTGAGAGAACCGGTTTTCTCCAGTGATGCAGCACCAGAGAGACTACCAATGCTTCTGTAGACGGACAGATATCTATGGACATGTAGGTAGCACAGATTCAATTAAAATAGAAATAAAAACAGAAATAGCACTAGAAGTTGGGAGAGAAAAGTACAGATATACCAGAGGAATTCAAAGGAGGGAATGTGTGGTCAAATTTGATCCAAAAAAAATCATGTGTATGTGTTTGTGTGCTTCAGTATTCATATATATGAATACTAATGAAAATATTTTTAAAGTATAAAGTAGATTAAAATATCATAGCTAAATAATAAATGATGTATACTATAAGGTAGCATATTGATTCCTAACAAACTAAAAGTTAGTGAAAGTTATTTCAGTACTATGAACATACTCTTAAAAATGTGAAATTATTTTCTTCCAATGGTACTGTTTTTCTCCCATGGTTGATGCTTCTAGATTAACTGAATTTAGCTATCATGGCACACAGACAATTATTATGTGTTTGTTATCACACACTTCACATGACAACCTCACTTGCTTGTTTTTTCTATAATATATTGATATTAAGTGTTATAGTTTTCTTTCTGTTACTATGATAAAACACTCTGAAAACCAGCAACCTAGTAAGGAAAAGGTTTACACCTGCTTACACTTCCAGGCCACAATGCATCACTGCGCAAGTCAGGGCAGGAACTCAGGAGGAAATGTAAGCAGAGATCAGGAGGAATGACACTTGCTCCCCACACCTTGCTCGGTCAGCATTCCTTATATAGTTCAGGGCCACCTGCCACTAAGCTAGTGTCATTCACAGTGTTATGAGCTCTCATTCCTCCATCTTGTACCAAGATAGTTCCTCACAGACATGTACACAGGCCAATAGGATCAAGGAAATCTTTGGGGTAGGCATCCACCTCACCTTAGGTAACTCTTGATTTTCCAAGTTGACAATAAAAAATTGTCAATGATGGAGCACTTGTCCCTGAATGAGATGTCTTTATGAAAGTCTTGCAAGCAGGATAGACTGTAGGTTGAAGGGTCTGTGGCTGAGTTGTTGTCTCACTCCCACCTCTGGAAGCCTTGCCTGGTTACAAAAGGTTGTGGGTTCAGGCTTAGTGTCCCATATTACTGGGAGTGTCCATAAGCAGGAAGTTTCCATTGCATTAGGTTTAATTATCTGACTTCAAGGGGACTTTTTCTGTGTGTAGTTTTTGTTTGTTTGTTTGTTTGGTTGGTTGGTTGGTTTAGTGTTCTTTTTATTTTTCATTAATTAATCAATTAATTAAATTTTAATTTTCCCAGGCCAATCACAGTTTTCCTTCCCTTTCTCCTCTTTTCCCGGTGCTTCCTCCAACCCCCTCTCCCATTTGCTACCTCTTCCTTTCCTCCAAAAATGTATAGGCCTTCCATGAATATCAGCCACATGTATCAGCATGTTTTGTAATTTTTTTTTGCTTTTTCCTTTTTGTTTCTTTTGGTTTTGTTTGATTTTCTTCTGAGAGAAAGAACTTGAAATTGGGTGAGTAGGTAAGATCTGGGAGGCGTTGGTGGAGAGGAAAGGATATGATCAATACACACACACACATGTATATATAGAGAACAGTAAGTGCATACAAAGAGGGTTTAGTGCTCTAATAATTTAAGCAAAACAAACAAACAAATGATCCCCGGAAAATTTGCAAGAATGTGTGCCTGAAATACAAAGCAATTTCTTAGTGGGAAAGAGGACCTGGGTTCAAACATCAGTGATGTGTTTAAAGAGGTTCAGGAGCAGAACTTCAGTTAAATAAATAATGTGCTCCTAATTCTCCTGCTTTCTGTATATTGTCTTTTCATGGGTCTCTGTATTAGTTAACATTTACTGCAAAAAGAAACTTCTCTGATATATGTTAAGATGTGTGCTGATCTATAAGTATAACATTATGTCACTAGGAGTCATTCAATTCAATTCCTTTTTTTTTCTTTTTCGATTTTTCGAGACAATATTTCTCTGTGTAGCGCTGTAGACCAG